GCACACCTGTGCACCTATATTTACCCTCTTAATTCCTATCGTGTTTTTTTTTTAGTGCAACCCTTTGTACATTATTCCAAGTTAAATCAGAAATATGCTCCAAATATGCAGACACTAAAAGATTAATAACACTATGGGCTGAGGTCAGAGTGACATGAGAAAATTATCTCAAAAGTAATTCCAGAACCCCTTTTACTTGGACTGTATTCGTAAGAAGAAAGTCACAGTCAAAACAAATCAATATTGATAAAACTCAGCCAATCAAAAAGAAAAAAAGATCTATCATAAAGATCTTATAGACCAAATGTTGTGTCGTGAATGGGACAAATGATGTTAAACATTTCACTAGAAAAATTTACATATATTGAAAGTGAACTTTGGATCAGAAAGTCCGTCTTCTTGTAAACCATGAAGTGCTTGGTTTGGTATTTGTTCTCCCATTAACAAAGAAGGGGTTCATGGTTGTTGATATTATTGTTTTTACAGCACTTATAAAGATTTTTTTCCTATTAGAAATTTCACTGTCAGATTATTATAACTGAAGTCTGCCTCCTCCATGAAGGAGCCTTGCTACCATCTCGTGGCCGGTTGAAGAACTGAATCTACTAATGTTATCATTTAGCAGCTATTATGAACAAGAAATATCCATAGTACCCATGCACCCACTTATATATAAAGACTATAAAATCTATGATATACAGCAGACCGTATATACCACCTTCGGTAAACTCAAACTAACAGAGATGGGAATCATTTATCTATTTAATCTTCCCACAAGCACAGAGCGAGTCCTCAACCATCACACTGCCTCCACTTTAACTACACACACTACTAACCACCCAGCAGCGTTTCCTTTCCACAAAAGGCTGTTCGCACACAGACAGAGCGAGCACCCCCGGTCTTCTTACCGAGTGAAGCAGTGGTGGCAGACCTCTTTGGCCAGTCTGTTGGACACGCAGCAGGCCAGCGGCTCGGTAGAGATCACCAGCTCTCCTTTGCGTATCCTGCCCGTTGCCCGGAGACCGTTACCTTTCCCGGGGCTGACGAAACGCTCGAGCATCAGTGCCATCATTGATTTTCCCTCCACGTGAAACAAACTTCCGTGTTTACATCCGTGATAAACGCTGCGTCATGACGTCACATGAACGTACACACGCTTTTACGACATATAAATGCAAAACGATTGTTACGTATTTTTGTATTTCTTTTTTATTATTATTTCTTTCCAAACTGTATGTGCACCTCACAGTTTATTATTTTGAACACTTGGTTTTTATTTAGAGTTTTTGCTTTTCTTTAGATATAACATAGACGGTATTTGTAAATGGCATAGAAATGTCAATAAACATATTATTAATAATAACATGTTAATATTACTAATATAATAAACCAATGCCTTTCCTTTTAATTTTAGTTTGGTTTTAGGTAATGCTGTGTATGGTTGTTATTAGATTTATTAATATGAACTAATGAAGTATGCACTATCAAATGTGATTTCTGAATTCTCTATTGTGCAATATTTGTGCACTTTTAGCAAAACTTTGGAAAGATGCTGGACAGAGACACAGGTACACTTAAGAAAAGCATTTGATCTATTTGTTTTGTTAATAAACATATATTTTCAGCAGATTAATGGTCACTTGCGTGATTTTTGCGTGGTTTGGATGATTGGCCATCTATATGGTAAAAGGCATACCAGCTGCAGTGCTCTTGTTTTCAGAAGTTTAAAACAGATGAACTATTGTTCAGCAGCAAAGTCCTTTTGGAATAATAATATAATGTCTCTGGCACCAGATGTGGTTTTGCTCATTTTTGAATGTTAGTCTACTATTGTAAGTTGCCTCAAAATGAATCTTGGTAAACTAATATTTATGAATTTGTGTTTCTTCAAAATTTACACAAATCACTGTTTATGTATCATCACACAAATTTTTATTTATTTTATTTTATTTTTTACATTATCCCTATAAAGATACTGCCCACTGCCTAGTGAGGACATGTTAACATTTTCCTGATAGTTATTCAAATCAAATTTTCAAATAAACAGCATACTAATTACAGAATTTTAATTAAAAAGAAATACTAAATATATTACTTGAATTCAGTTCATGTACATGTCATATCAATTCAATTAAAACTTAAATAATTAAATAAAGAAATATGTCATACTACTTCACAAAGATTGTGATATCTCTGTAGTATCGCTGTACATCATTTACTAGATTCTTCACATTAACAGTCTTCTGTTTGATGTCAGTCTTCTAAACCATCCAATGAAATTACAACAGTAAAATACAAAGCAAAAGCCACTAAATCAAACAATAAGTTCTATGGGTGTTTGAAAAGATTCAGTATTGTCCAAAGGCAACGGGGTGCTGGATAACATTTCCTCTCCTTGGGCAGATTCCTCAGCACGAACCTCCCTGTAGCGCAAAACAACCACAAGAAACAAAATGTAAATGTATAAGCTTCACTCTGCAGATTTTGAACTTTAAATTTAAATATGAACTTTAAACTACCACCATAATATTTATTTCTGTTGACAGCTGATCCATTTCACTGTACGACACACTGAACCCCTGTACCAAACGACTCACAGACCGGCCCAAGAGTTGGGGACCGCTAATCTAGAACATCACCTTGTCAGGTCCATTTCTTCCCGTTCATGTCTGGACAGATGACAGACAAGTGCCACACCGATGCAGTCTCCGAAAAACATTCACCACAGTGTTGCAGTGGTCTCTGAAAGTTACCGTAGTATTATGTGTACTGCAGTTACAAAATGCATTATTCAAACTCTAAAATACTTTACATTATCCAAAATACTTTTGTGATGTCAGATTTAAATTACAAAACATAAATCTTACATAAAACAGTTTGTAATTATAAGGATAATTACATAATATATATTAGATATAATATAAAACAGTCAGTTGTGTTTTGTTTTAACTTTAACATATCATAATTTGATTGGTAGCAACTTTTACCACTACAGTGAGCCAATCACTCATAATTCTCAAAGCTGAGAACCAAGACCTCAAAGGTAATCTTACCTGGATGAGATGAGCACTGCAGTCAGTAGCGCAGGAGAAACCCCCTTAATGAGAACTATGGGGTTAGTTCTTGTGAACAGAAAACAGAGCGCTGGTAGAAAAATTCCTGCGTGGATTATGAGCCTAAAACACACAATTTAAAGTGAATACTTACAGTCCTGGGTTTCTGGTTAGTATTTATTGAGTTTGGGTTCTGGTTTTGATTTTGTTGATCTTGTGTTTCTAATGCTCCCAGCATCCCCGAGTGTTTCCATGTCTTAGCCTCACTCCGTCTTGACCCTCAGTGTCCCCCTGTCTCTGATATCCCACTCTGTGTTTGTTATTCATCTTGTGGTTATTTCCTGTCATACTGCGATGGGCTCTCTTCTCATTGTTTTTATTTTTACGCTATGTATCTGTCTTTAAGCCTGTTTCTCTGATTGTCTTCACCAATGTCTGAGAACTTTCAACTGTGGATTCCTCTTCTGGATTCCCAGCACACTATTTGGCTCAGTATCCAACTCAGCTTAAGTTTTCTCTGTTGGTAACTTCCCATTGACTGGACTCATGTTCCCTGGTTCAGTCCCCTGAAGTCCACCTCATCAGTCCAACAAGACTAACTTCTTGCCAATTACTGAAGTGTAAATAAAACCTTTGTATTATAGTCTGCAGAGTCTGTATACTCCATTTTGGCTCTGATTCAGCTGGCATTATACTGAATTCCAAGTTGCTCCTGATGCATTCATCAGAGTGTGAATGTGTGTAAATGTTAGATACAAAGCCCTTAGGTATAGAAAAAAGGGCTTGTATGAATGTGTGGATGAATTGGTGAATGAGGCTTGTAGCGTAAAGCACTTGAGTGCTCAAGCAGAACAGAAAAGTGTTATATAGGAACCAGCCCATATACCATTTACAAATTTTGGGATGAGGGTCAGAAATGCAGCTAAATTATGGGCCAGTATTCTGTTAATAAAGACAGATGAAAGAACTTACCCAAAAACAACTACAGCCATGAACTTTCCCAGTTTGTAGATGGTTTATCAATCATAAGCATCAACAACACGGCTAGCAGTCATGAACATCACTCCCACTGGCAAGTAACTGGAGAGGATAAAGGAAGGAAATTACTTACTAAACAGATATGATTTCTATTGCAGTAGTACTAAAAAAACAAAACAAAAAACAA